CAAAATTTTCTTTATATATGTCTAGTAAAATGAATAAAATTTATAGATTTATAACTTTAAACGATAACTGACTTTACTCAATTTTAATAAATTATTTTGTTTATGTATTGTCCAAGTTCTTATAATTAACATAATCCTACGAGCACTCAATTATTTATATTTAAGTTTCGCAATTAAAGCATTGAAGTACAATTATCAATCTTTTCTTTTTCATTCATTTGAAAAAACGTAAGATATAAATAAAATGAAAAAAAAAAAAAAAGACAAAAATGGAAGCAAACAATAATTTTCAACTTTTTTTCCCGTAAAAATATTATTATAAAATATAAATTTCAATAGAAAAAAAAAAAACATTGATAAGCAGTAAATTTAAGCTCATAAATTCAATCGTAATGTTGAAAGTTATTTTGCTGAATAATATGTCTTTTGAACGAAGTTGGCAAATTTATGGAAAAAATTTTTGTACGCGGCGATTAAAATAAATTGCAGATTGAATTATTGTGACATAGTGTGCACATTATTCGTATATATATATATATATATATATATATATATATATGACTGAATTAATAATATAATGTACACAAAATGATTTATAATCTCATGCGATATCGAGAATATCGAAATTGAATATTGAAAAACTAATGAATATGAAAAAGAATAAAATTGATATCTCACACCCATTGATGAAACATTGAAAAATATTATTAATCACAATATCGTAAACTACCCACACTAATTACTGTGTTAATAAACAAAAGTAATTAATTTACGAAAGTTTAACAATAATTTTATGCTACGGTATGAATATTGAAAGTATATAAATTATTAAAAAAGAAAAAATAATAATAAATAAATAAATGTTCCAAATAGATGCTCAACAAATGTCCGTTACAAAGTATTGAAGGATTCTTGAAACAACTCTTTTTGGGATTAGGATAGGTGAGGTATCATTTCATTTGAGATTGAATGAAACGGAAATTTGATATGGGCAATCGTTTACCCAATTTACTCATACACCGTGTCCAGGATAGCCAATAATCATCAATCGATAAAAATAAATACACAAGTTCGTCATGTGCCTTTACGGCTTTAACAGCAAGTAGTGATTTATTTGGGACTTGTGTAAATGATTATATCATGCTTTTTCAAATAAATAAACCGAAGAATCACATGCTTGAGACCAAAGTAATACATACATGCTTATACACGATTTAATTCATATAAAAAATATGTGAAAAAAAAAATAAATAAAAAATAATAATAATAACTATAATAAGTAACATTACAACTAAGATAAATGTTATGAAGCATGCACGTTGCTGTCACTCTTGCAAGTCAAGTCCACTCATCGGCTCGAAAATACTCTCAAAAATAATCATTAGCACCGTACGATTAGTTATTATTATAACTAAATTGTATCAAGTATCATTTTGTTTTGCATAAATTATAATATATCTTTGAGTAATTTTCGAGAGATCTGTGAGGCGACCATGTGATTGACAACACGATGATGAAATACATTACCACTTTTATAAAATTGGTCTGCCTTGGAAATAGCTATAAATTTTAACAACTAAAGTAACTAATTAAAAATCAAAAATATGGTTAATTTAGTCGACAGAGCACTACATTAAAATACTCATTTACCGTTAAAATACACAGCAGGCTAAAAAAAAAAGTTTTACATCCAGAACAGATACAACTCGAGCAGCAATATTTTCATCAAAGCACAAATACATTGACAGGGCATACTATGATAATTGTTCGGAGCCGAATATAAATATGCCGTGTGCGTGTGTGGGCGAGTAGGTGGGAGTGTGTCACAGTGCGTGTATGCGCTCTTGGGTCTAGCATGAATGTTGGTGTTTTGCGCGCGTATGTGTCCGTTTCCGTGCCTGTGTATGTGTCCGTGTGTATAATTGTGTGTAGATCTACCGACATACAAATAAGAAAACAATGACCGCGTAATATTACGTTTCAGTTAAACAAACAATACATGAAGAGAGTGTTAAAGAATAAAAGTAATACACAAAAGGTAAAAGAAGTAGAAGGCTTGTATTGCATATTGTATCTCTCGTTCTCCATCTCTCATTCTCTCGCCCTCTCGCTCTCTCGCACACAACCAGTCACGCAAGCTCACGCACACGCATACATAAATATCAAACAATGACTACGGATCCCGTGTCATCCTCCAGGTTCGAAGGATGATTGTTTTGGAGCTTGCAGGCCGTCTTGAGATCATCGTACCTAGCCGCTGACGAGGCGGTATCCACCACCTCATCCAAGTGCGAGTTGCTCGCCTGAAGCACGCCCTGATTGGTCGGGGACGCGCAATATGCAGGCAACCCGTGAGTCATCTGATGTTGATTCTGCAGCAGCAGCTGCTGCTGCTGCTGCTGTTGCTGGAGTTGCTGATGTTGATGCTGCTGATGTTGATGTTGCTGTTGTTGCTGCTGGTGGTGGTGATTCTGTTGATTCTGCTGCTGGTGATTCTGTTGATTTTGTTGCTGATATGGCGGTGGCATTTGGTAGTGGCGATTATGCTGATGTGCCTGATGCTGATGCTGTTGCTGGTGCTGCTGATGTTGTTGCTGTTGTTGTTGCTGCTGATGTTGTTGCTGTTGTTGCGGATGCTGCTGCTGCTGCTGCTGCTGCTGCTGCTGCTGCTGTTGCAACTGTTGCTGATGATGAAGCTGCTGCTGCTGGCGATGATGAGCGAGTTGAGACTGGACGACTGTGTAAGCGATTTCACGGCGCTGCTGTTCGCTCATGCCCGACGTGTCGACTAGGCTGAACTCCAAGTGTCTGGCGGAGGGAGGGGGAGGGGGGGGCGGGATACGTAATACATTATTATTCACGTGTCGTAAACACAATATTATTCAATAATATAATGGAAAAGGAGATTTATACCATTGTTAACATGGCAATTTTGTTATTGAAAATCCGCGGCCCATGACCGCAAATAATTATTTAAGCTTAAATAACGAATAGTGAGAGGCATTTTTTGCCAGTCCACTGATTTATTATTAATACGAGCTCACGAATTTCTTAATTCCTTGTTTCAGTGGCACTGTCGTTCATCTCAAATCTTCGAATTACCGTATCAGTTACTCCGAAGTGTCTTAACCCGTAATTTGTTTAAACCCGCTTAAAAGTTAAAATCTTACTTTCTCAACTCGTCCGGTAAGGCGTGTTTAGAAGAGGGACTCCTGTGCTTGCTTCTGTGCCTCCTTCTCGGCTCGGTCGTGCTGATCTGAATGTATTGAGTAATGAAGAATAAAAGAAAATAATATTAAACTTTGAAATAATGTTTATATATTTGCTCGTGCACAACGAGCTGCTGCGGTAGCATAACAAAAATTATAAAAACACTACTCACAACGGCCCTTTGGATTATTTCGCCTTTCCGCCGCTGTGCCTCCCGCCACTGTGGCGCAGAGTCGACCATTTCGTGCCTACTACAATTAAAAACCTCATTAAACAATTGAATTAATTTAAAACGCTATTTACGAAATTCGCTCGAGCTCGATAGTTAACGCGCAAATTTCGCGACGAGCCGTCAATGAATTTAATTGGTAAAACCAATGCCGGGCAACATTATATCATTAAACATCATTGTCTTGGCTCTAATACCGCGTCACGGGAATTAGGAAAATTGCAATTAAAATAATTCGAGAAAAAATGGGTGAGAGCGCACAACCGCATAAGGAATTCGCGCAGCGGCTAAAATGACTTTCGATATTAAAAGCCAAGGTGAGATGGTAGAAGTGGATAAGCTTGGATATATAAGTAGTGGGCGTTACTTGGAGTGCCGGGAACTTCTATGTCTTCGGCGGTGCTTCCTGTGCCCGGACTTTTGCGTCGAGCCACGGGAAAGTTGCGACTCGCAATCGGAATGGCGATTGTGCTTCCGGTGGCTTCGACTATGACTCCTTCGCCGATGCCCTCGGCTATGACTATCAGCGGAACTCTGACTCTCCACCGAGCTGCTCCTTCGATTCAGTCGATTCAGGAGCTTGAACATTCAACCGCTCGTGAGAACATTGACAATTACGCAAAAGGGCAAACGTCTCTATCCCCCTCCCTCTCCAGGCTGATAAACATCGTGTCGCCTCCTCTTCTCCTCAATTTGGCGCAACCCCTGTCATCCGAAATGCCCTGCCTGCGCTTACATTCATACCAGCCCATCGTTAATCATTAGCATTAATTATTATTATCGTCGTCGTCGTCGTCGTCGTCGTCGTCGTCGTCGTCGGTCCTTTTTCTATTACAATCCAGACTTTTTGATGATGATACTTGGCACACCGAATCGTCAACCCCAAGAAATGTCTCTAACGCGAAGTTTGATGAAGCCATTGGAACAGTAACCGAGTAGCGACTCACCTCCACACTCTCCCTCCCCAAATTTCTAAATATCCGATTGAAGTTTCAGAAGAGAGAGAGAGAGAGAGAGAGAGAGAGAGAGAGAGAGAAAGAGGTGGGGAGAGACGTTGACGAGAGGGATGCACTAAGAGTGACAGAGAACTTACAGCTGGTGCGGTGCCGCAGGATCTGACAGACCTCGGGCTCGAGGAGGTATAGAGGCCTCTCGGCTGGCTCTGGGTCCAGGGTGCGCTCCTCGTGCTCCTGGGACTCGGGTTGTTTCGCGAGGCGACGCTGCCCCCGTGAGCCAGGCAGTTCTGGCTCTGGCCGATAGGGGGCCCCTGGGCCGCCTGAGTGCTCGGCCCCTCGACGAAACCCGCGACCATCTCCTGACCCTCGACGACTCGCCGCTGGGCTCGGCGACTGGGCATCCGCTGGAAGCTCGGTTGGGCCATGCGCCTCAAGCCGCTCGGCTGTCCTCGGCGTTAGAAACGTTGTTATACGGCCGCGATTTATGACGGTACAAAGGAGCGAGCCTTGGTGGTCGAGTGTCCGTCCCCAGGCAGCGCGAACGATTTATCTCTCGGGGGACGAACGTTCCTTCTCTTATTTGCTAAAAGGTGCGCGGCCCCGGGCATACGCCCAAACCCATATCGTACACCGATGTCAGATTAATTGCTTAGCGGTCTTGCACTTTAAATAGCCCGATTATTCCCGAGGACATATAATTACTCCCGGCTGACTATATATATATATATATATATATATATATATATTCATGCGTGCGGACATATTTATTCATAGGAAGTCCTAATATTATGATTCATTTCCAGAGCTCGATCCATCCGGTTATGGATATTGGCCATACGGATACGCCTCGTACATTAAAGCAATTTTGAAAAACTTAATACGCCAATATCTATCTAGTATTGATACGTATATATATATATATATATGTATATATATATATATATATATATATATATATCTATATGATAATTGTGAGTCGAGTCGTGCAAACAGGACAGACAGACAGTACATGTTACAAGGCTCAGAGACTAAATGCCAGTGTGTGCTCGCGCGTGAGCGTCCTTTTTTTCATTCGATTTTGAGTCTTATAACACGTTTACACAAATCGACTGGTAATTATAATATCTAATTAACCGTGATTTGGTGAAATCGTGTTCGATTAATCCTTATTAATTGTTCCTCGTAATCGGGCGTTTAGAATATTTTCCAGGACGGACGTTGTAATCCAATACCAATTCATTGTTTATTGTCAAGTTTCATCTAACTTTTATCTGACATTCGCGACCCTTTGGTTTTTACGTTTCGCATCACTCGGCGCACTTCGGGATCCATTTACACACGAGCCCGTATAATAATAATAAAATTTGTTTTTCAAGCTGTTGGTGCTCGACAGGTGCTATCGCATATAGAACGGAATGCTGGAAAATTTGATTAATTGCGTGTCGAATGAGCAACGTCGATGAGAGAGCCAATTGAAAATCCCTTTTAATTACGAAATACTAAACTTCTTGGCGCTATAATAGCGATTAAACTCGCACTCTGCGCTTTATTTTATACGGATTATTCAAGTCTATCGAGCCGGATGAAACGACGAGTGAGAAATGTTGTAAACAATGCAAACAGAGTGCTCAGCGTCATTAGGGCCGTGCCCATCGTGCCAAACCCTATTACTGATCCCTTAACTATAAAGTGCCTAACACATCGGCTAGAGTCGTTCTCCTATAAATCAACATCGTTGCTCAAACGACAACGGCCTCTTTGACGACAATGCCATAAGGTAGGAAGATGCTACGGTAGTGGTTGGCCATAGGTGGGGCGCGAGGCCGGCAAGGCGATTCTTATCATACCTGTTGCTGCTTCTCGCCAATGGCCGCGCAGGCGGCGGCGCTCATCGGCGGACTGTAGGACCGGAAGCGGGAGTACGGGCTCAGTGGCGGCGGCCCCGTGGCCATCAGCCGAAAGAAGGCCTGATGATCGATGCAGCAGCGGAATAAGTGGCTGCACGCGCCCCGGGATGGCGTCTCGAAGCCGTGGGTGCGGTCGGCCGAGTTCTTCTCGCTCACCCGCAGCATGAAGTACTTGCCCTGTGGCGGCGAGAGGAAGTACGAGGCTTTGAGTTCGGCTCACTGAGTTATTAGGGTTAATAATGTTGCGGGTGCTTATTGGTGGTCGGTCGCCGGTAGTAAAATGGCGAGTCCGATCTCCGCTCCCGAATCGGTTAGTTAATGCGAAATTGGGCTTTGCGGCCAGTGCGTCGGTGCTGGCGGCGGCGGCGGCGACGGAGGCGGCAACGACAGCGGTGGTGGCGCGCTTATTGGGATAATTAAAGTGGGGGACTTACTTTGTGGTAGATTTTGTTGATGCGCGGCCAGTAATAGTTGCCGACTTTGGTCTTGTTGCGCAGGAGAATAATGCCGCTTGGCGTCAGACCGAGAAAGTATTCGACGCAGTCCTCCCCCTTTTTTCACACAAATTCATCATAATCATCATCAAAATCATCATCATCATTATCATCATTATCATCATAATCATCATCATCATTGTCATGCGTGGCTCGGTCGCCGAGATATAATGAGTCATTGTTATATCTTACCAGTACCGGATGAAGATCGACGCCGTACATCTCCAGCCATTTCACCTTATCCAAGTAATTCAGCTCTGCGGCTGATGGTAACTGTCCTCTAAATGGGACAAATGACATACAGAATTATAAGAGTGCGGCATTCGGTTATTAGGAGCCGGGTCATTGCGTCGTGACGGCTCGCTTACATAAAAGACATTCGAATGGTGACGATGGGTCGTAGGCTAATCATCGTAAGAGGTGCGTCGAGGGTCTTTTGACACGGAAACCCGAAACCATGAATTATCGGGCTTGGACGTTCGATCGATGATTGCCTTTCTTTTTTTCTTATATTCTTCTTTTTTTACCTCTCGGACGTCTTTTATGTTTCACGAGATACTTTGAACGAAACCGTCCAAAGTCCCGAGTGAGCGACGACACGGCCCATTGCCCATTTAATGAAAACTATTATCTTACACTAGAGTTTTATGTAACTCGACTATCCGTGCTTCGAGCTCCGACGTTTGATTCGCCAGAAATCTGAACTCGGATACATAGCCGTAGGAGTGGCGCCTCGGATCGTAATCACCGAGTTCGGCTGGAAATTCATTGTTATTTAATTTTTTATTTTATTTTATTTTCCTTCTCTTTTTATTTATTTATTTATTTTTTTTTTTATATATATATATATATATATATATATTTTTTAGATCCATTCGACAAATAAGCTCGAAAAAGTTTGTTTTACGCCTCGCTGCTACCGTGTATATACATACATCCTGTCCTTTGAAATATATGTACGTGTGCATGCACACGCCCTCGCTTGTGAATTTACAAATCTACGTATTCGTATATTGATATCTTTCGTTTCAATTCAATTCAAATGGCTCGATCAAATAGATGCCCGAATGATTACCTAATTGAGAGATTCCCCTCCTCCAGCTCCCCCCCCCCTAAAGAACGTTTAATTGAATGATAAACACGAACAAAGGACGTCCATATGATACTAGAAGGACTATGGGAATAAAAAGTATGGCCAGAATTTCAAATTATCCGTTGCAACGTATGATTTACTTTCGGCTTTCGAGTGGCCGAATGGAAAGCTTTGATACATTATTTTAAGTTTAAATAATTGCATATAATTTAATGGATATAGTCTTTAGCCTTGTGCTTTAGAGATGTTTGGTATAACGAAACATTATCGCTTAAACATGTTGAAATTACTTGAGCGAGTAGCCGTAAATATTCGACAACTCTAATGAATATTCTATATTTGTTTTCATTCATTGTGAAATAAATGTGCGCGGTCAATCTGCAATTTTAGTATTTGTTTTTACGATTACGGCCGAGTGAGCGCTCGCTATTTCACGGATAGTCTAATTCTCGAATTTATTAGCGTATTGGCTGAGCGACGCTATTTTGTAAAGCGTATTTGATCAGTTTCGTTAACAAAATTCATTTTAGCGTAAATTAAATTCAACTTAGAAAAATTGCAATTATCCGTGTTTGGGTAGCGAAGGAAAAAACGGCAATCCTGATAAATTAAAAAGCACCCGATAGTAGACAGCACTTTGATAATGGATACGGATGATTAAAACGGGGAAAAAAGTTTATAAATAAATATTCTAAATGGTATTCCTACTCCAAGTGTTCGCTAGCTTTTTGTTTAACAGGCGCGCAACGCGTTAGCATAAAATAGTCACAATGCGACTTTCTCGACGCTTAGAAACGCACTCGGTTTGCATACTTTTCACGAGCGCGTACGCGAGCTTTTAATGCCGGCGAGCGAAGGCGAAGAAAAAAGAGAGAAAAAGTATGGAGGCATAAGTTAGTCTGGCCAAACGGAGCAGCGACGTTTCTACGATCGGGAAAATTGAATTTCGCGTACCGCGCCACAGCCTATCAAGATCCTGGACGATCATGTTGAACGAGGGTTGCCGGTTAAGGGGCTGGTAAGCGGCGGGGAGGGGGAGGAGTGTGTGCGGTGTATATGGACGAGGGGGTCGAGGGAGGCTGCTGCCGCGGTTGAAAGAGGAAGTAATCGGCGGACGACATCTCAAAACCGCGCCGCTACGTGGAGTAAAGGCGAGGAAAGGGAGGGGGATGACGGAGTCTGGGAAAAAAAAATCGTCAAATAAGTTAAAAGCCAGGAAAAATATAGGGAGGCCGCGGGCGCGCCAAGTCAATGAACGGGTAAACATAAAGCAGATTAGAAACCGTAAAAACGACTTCTCTTCCATTACTCCCCTTGGAATTAGAGCGAAAGTTTCTTATCTCCCGCAGGGAAAAGTGCGCTTGGGAAAAGAGCCGAGTAGAAGAGCGAGAGACGGCATAAAGAAATAAAGAAAGAAATAAAGAAAGAAAGAATGAATGAAAGGGGAAAAAAAAAGAAGAAGAAACGTCGTAGTAGGTAAGCGTCGAGTGGGGTGGGGGCGGAGAGGAGCCCTGAAAAAAGGCTAAAGCCGCCATCGCTGCCCTCCCGCCGCCCGCGTATTACTCGTATCTGCCCAGCGAGATTCAAAGTCTGGGCAAATAGAGATACGCGCCTGTTTGCGTCTCATCGCGCGTGTCAAAAGGCTCGCTTGATGAATGGCCCGTGTCTTTGTTCTTTGGACGGCGCGCATCGGGGCCGCATCGCGATGCCGCGGCAACCTGGACGACGGACTCTCGGCGCCACTCGGCGCCAAAAAGAGCCGATGAAGACGAGCGGATGAAAGGGGCCGGCCTCCCACACGCCCCACCGCAACCACCACCACCACCTCCTCCTCCACCTTCTCCTCCTCTATCTCCTCCTCTATCTCCTCCTCAACCCGCTACCACCCCTGGCTAACCGAAAAACCGGCTTTTTCTCCGCATGGGAAAGCGCTGAATGTGCTCGTGTGTGGAGTCAGTCGCGCGAGCGCGCCTTCGTATACAATGATTAACGTACGGGAAATTGCCCTTTCCTCGTTTGGCCCCGCGTGCGCTCAGCCGGGAAAGAGCTTGCTCTTTGTTCTTATTGATGCGATTCCATGGCCATTCAACGACAGCCATTGCCCATATGCTCTCGCAGCGGATATTTCTTTATAGTTATTACCGTCGATCTTTTAATCCGACTGATTCGCTAACGGACCGCCTTCCTTTGCCCCTGCGAATTTTCGACTTCCCATTAATTCGCGAAATTACCGGTTGCAGCGAAATTCTAATGTGATTGATTTTTCGGTGGATGCCTAGGTAGATAGCCCAGAATGTGCGATAGACTCCACGAATTAATCCAGAATTTTGTCCATTAAAGTATTGCTTATTATGCCACGGCATTTGCCATTTATAAATCAACGAATGAGCGTCGTCGTGCGAGTGAAATAGCTTATCCACCTCTGCAGTCCTTCCAGCTCCGACCAACCCCCAACCACCCATCCAGCAATTATTATGTTTCATTAAGCCGTGTTGCACGCCTCTGTATTAATCATAATGAAGTAATATCAATTTCGTCCTGTCGATGTTTTAACCGCGTGTCATGGGAACTCGGTCGTTTATAATTATAACTTTATCGAATATATTTTATTTTATACGACTACAGCATAATTTGATACAATAATGAATGTATCCTTTTTAATTGCATATCTATCTTTATGTAATCGTAATGCCCGATATTTTTAGTTCGTTCTGTTTTATTGTTTTTGTTGTGGTTTTTTTTGGTTTCTTTTTTTTTTTTTTTTTATAACTAAACTACCGAGCCATAAATTTCTCAACTTGCCCACTTCCACGTGTACAACAACAATCTACCTTTCGAGGCCATACGAATCAATAACTATTCATATTTAGTAGTACGAGATGTACTAATAATTATCGATAGCGGCAAATATATTTAACGTAATTCGTGCTTTAAAACAGGCTCGGTAAAACTTTAAAATACTGGCAGTTGGTGACGCAATGATTTAAAAACTTTTACTATTTACTGAATACGGACGACGTGCATTGATATGCGCCTGCTAGTGTTTGCGTGCGTGCGCGCGCGTGTGTGCGTGTGTGTGTGTGTGTGTGTGTGTGTGCGCGCGCGCGCGCGCGTAGGCGTACTCGCGCAGTTAATAGTAGACTTTTCCTGATGTTTTACAAAAACTGAAGCAAATGAAAAAGAAGAAGAAAATGAACGATAGAAAGAAAAGAGACGAGAATTAAAAATTTCATTCGACATTCTGTTAATAATTTAATTAAAATTAAATTGAATTGGTTTGTTTTTGGCATTTGAAATATTTCATAACGATGCCGCATATGTATTTCAATTTATACGGATTTTTGCAATATCGAAGGACGTTGATTCGTAAAAATTTCTACAATATTAACAGACATTTATTGGAATGCCATTAATTTATTTATCCGTATTTCAAATAAAAATGTAGCAAGGTAATCTATTCATTATTGAAATAATTTATAATTGTGAGCAATCGAATAAGTAAGAACTTTAATGTGAGAAGGAAGGGAATCTTTAAGGGTTCACCACTAATTAATAATATCCTATTTAATGTATTCTAGTAGATGAGAGCGAATTTAATGTTATTTTCATTTTTATTTTATTTTATTTTATTTTATTTTATTTTATTTATTTATTTTTTTTTTTTTATTTTTTTTTTTATTGTATTAAATAATTATTATTTGAAAAGCCATGTAAGTAATTGACAATAGCCGTAAAATTATTATAATGAAATTATGTGATTCATGGATCATTTAAAAAGTACAAACTATAGTTTGCCTGCATTACCGTACACACCTTTATTGCTACGTTCGAGAAAAAGAAGATTAGATATTTTCGCGCTGTGTATGTATTTACTCGCGTGTGTAAAATATTTACTTACATTGTACGACATAAGCACCAAGTTCAGCGGCAAGGTCAAAAGAAACCGGAAGTCTTCCTTGAAGTATATCCTGCTTGACTTGCAAAAAAAATTGATATCTGAAACAAGATAATGAATAATGTTTCCTTTGGGAAAATTACGGGAATAATCCTTATAGACTAAATTAAGGCCGACAATGAAATTTATTGCAAATGTCATAATAGAAAGTAGGGTCCCAGAAACAAGAATATTCGTACATAATTGTAAGGTCGATAAAATTAATTGCTAATAATAATTCCTCGGCAAATTCAGTGATTCCGAAATCGCTGCGGTAAGCTTGTCTAATGAATTGTGATATGAATTTTTAGTGATTATACGTATGAAATATATATAGATAAGCTCATCCGAAGTGGGCTTGTTAAAGTAAACCTGTTAGAAATGAAAATTTTCATTTTATTTACATACTAAATAAGCGTAAATTTGCACTAACTGCATTGAAAGTCAGTTAGAAATTGCACGCTAATCGAATGAATAATAAGCAGCCAGACCTAAAGTCCTAATCATCCTTTTTAAATGAGTGCGGGGAATTCAAATATTTTCAGAGTGATATTTGGTATTGATTGTCGGAAAATTTATTTGTAAATTTATAGGAAGATTTAAGCATAACACACGGATGTATTAATCCAGCACTATATAAACTCTTTTCATTTCCATGGACTTTTATCGATAATACAGCTCAACGATTTTTAAACTTTTATATTTAATATGAAAATAAAAGGTTCAACGAAAAAAAAAAAAAATAAAATAAAATAAAATAAATAAATAAATAAATAAATAAATAATAAATGTTATAAATATATCATCGGTCTTTTAATACATCCATAATTACTGAATTAATACTTCACTATTTTACAATTTATATTAACAGTCCTCGAATTACCAGTAATAACGTATCTCTATCAAATTGAAATCATAATTATTACAGGCGATATTCTTTTCTTCTATTTATTTCATTCCGTCTTCTTCCTCATCCTCTTCTTGTTTTTCATCTTATTGATTATTATTATCATTATATTAATTATTGTCATTTTATATTAAACATCGTTGCTTGTATTTCATATATTTTTTTTCTTATTACATTTTTGCATTTTTATGCGTTTACAATACTAATAATAAAAGTCATTATAATTGATGGATTATTCGACGAGAAAAATTTAGCCGATGATTTACATTTATTATTCAAATAATGCCTTCTGTACAATCATAAAAATCAAAACAAAAACCATATTAAAATATCTGCATAGCAGCACTGCCAGCGCAAATTGTACGTAATTTTGAATTTCAAATACATTTAAGTTTTCAACCAATTATTACGAAATGTATAAATTATAATGCATTTGCCAATGGGGCTGGCGCCCATTGTTAGATTCTTCGAATTAAAATAGAAATATGCTTTTTAGAGGAAGAATGTGAAGTGAGATATCACATCGACAGCTACAAGTATAAACAGAATTTACATATTCGAAACATTATATGTTTCCGACTACATTCACGCCACGAATAAAGCGGAAACTGGTGTAATATAAAGCACGGCAGTATGTTACAAATACAAAGAAAGTCGTTGAATTAAATGAATATTATATTTACAGGCCAGTGATTTGAAGCGGGGAGAGACTGGGTGAGTGAGTGAGAGAGACAGAGAGAGATAGAGAGACAGAGAGAGAGAGAGAGACAGAGAGAGAGAGAGAGAGACAGAGAGAGAGAGAGAGAGAGACAGAGAGAATGAGAGTGCGCGCGCGTGTGTGTCTGTGTGTGCTCCTTTTACCAAAAACACGCCACAGCCGCAATAAAGTAATTGATAATTATTACGGAATTGATAATAGCTTTTAATGCTAAAAAGTAAAGTAACATTTTAGATGGTCCGACGTTCTCAGTGGCAGCAGACCTCCACAATGTGACAGCAGTCCCTTAACGGATTAGCCGCGATGCTTGGCAATGAAAGATCACCCCATCGAGAGTACCGAGCAGCCGAGTCATAAAAGCAATTACACGTGCCCGGGTGCGCACACGCTGTACATCATCGTCCCAAAGTGGCGTCGCTGGCTCATCGATTTCAGGATTAACGTGCGCGAGGTCAGTGCTTGGGATTCGACGCGATCGATCGCCCATCGGCGCTCCTCGCTCCTTCCAGCATTCATCTAAACTCTTATTCCGAGTTCCCGAAAGACGCGCGGCGAGAAATGAAAAATTACGGAATTATCGGAGGGGTAGGATAGCCGTTACTGATTAATTGATTGGGATCGATCGGCCGCGGATATTGATTGATTCCAGCGGCCGTGGCCGCACGGATTCGTGGGACGAGTCGCTGAATGCGGCCCCGTGCCGCGAGCCGATAGAGTCGCGTCGCGCTTCAGCCACACACACACACGCGCACGCACCTATCCGAGCGCGGAATTAATAATGGGACGAGCGATAACGATATAAGTCTCAAAGGGAATAATAACATCGTGGATGGGGAGAATCAATGGGGATCGTCGCACATCCGCGCGGCCCTCGACGACTCTTTCGATTTCTAGTTGGCTAATAATAATGAATGTCGGGCTTATTTCTGAATGGAAAGCCAATGCTCCCAGACTGCTTGTTCATTATACGCGCGACCCATGAGAAATTCCTTGCATTTTTAATGACTTTCTCCAAATGCATTATTATATTAGATACAGCGTTATTTGGTACATCGTCTACATGCCAGATTCGTTTCTTCGACAATCTATTTAATGCGCTACATTATTCAGCATCCGAAGGCTAATATTGAAGGCTTCTTTTATTTTCATTTCTAATTACCAAGTAATTGTTAATGCGCGAGCTGTAACAGATGCCGAGCATCGATAAAAATTGAAATGCCGTCTCAATGAATTTTGTATCATCATTCATATAAGCTTTTCGCTACGACGTCGCGTCATTATGTGAGCAATCGATTATAAACGGCATGTATTTACAAATTACTTGTTGAGAATGCATCTTCCAATAAGCTATCTCCCTCTCTCTCTCTCTCTCTCTCACTCACTCACTCACTCACTCACTCACTCACTCTCGGATTTTCACAATATTGATTTACTCAAGCTTTGCATACACTTAACGGCTTACAAAGTATCATTATATATATATATATATATATATATATATATATATATATATTTATGTGAATTACGAGAAAGCAAGACGAAATTGCCATCGCATCGCATATTGAATAATCTACTTTACTTTTATTTTTAACAATTTTAGTGTATTATATACTTCATAAAGTGAGAAGCAAAATTTCTTGTCTTAGTCCAATTACGTATGTATGCGTGCGAGCAACAACCAATTATTCACTTACCGATTAATTAAATGTGCCATTTCTCTTTTAAACTAAATAATATTTAACAATTATCCTTACTGCAAATATTTATCTTTCGATAATAAAAAAATTTTTATGGAAATCCGTGTCGTCTGTCAACTGCTTTTCAACTCACCGTATTGCCATTGATCAGCTGCAGCAGTTACATTATTCATCACAACATTTTGGATAAAAATCTTTTTACGCAGTAAAATGCGTGTAATAGAATTTTTTGCTTTATCCGATGGCGAAGGATGTTCAAAATTTCGATAAATTTTAATCACTTTGTAGAGGTATTAGCCAACGAACGAACTAACAACCTTAAATCTCCACTTATTTATAGCTAATATTTTCGATATTCTCTGCTCGGCAAAGTAGAATGAAAGTTTCGTCCGCTTTCACGCAAGGTTGGAATATTTTTGCCTATAATGCCAACTCGCAGAGTTTTCCTCTATTTCCGTGCATTCGACGTTTTTAAGTATCGCAGAGTTATAAGAGTACGAAATAACAAGCGACAACGAATAATCGCGATATATTCGTGCGACTAACGTATGTATTGTCCTTAGCTTACAAGTAGCCCTCTTCGTATCAACAGCATATTTGCTTAATAAAAAGACTTCCGCGATTTGTATTTCGCGGATAATGAGGTTGGCATCGAAGGCACGAGGAAGAAACATTCGATTTCTGACACAGATAAGCCCAGAAAGCAAATAAACGATTTCATAAATAAAGGAAAAGACGGGTGAAAGATCGAGGAAATGAAATATAGTGCAATTCGCAGCGAGGAGGTGGAGGAGAGACGAAGTAATAAACGACAGAATAGATGCCGACGAGGGAGAGGCGATGAGAGTGTGTGTGGTGAAGGACGGGGATCGAATGGGATTGGATGGGATCGTGGTGGGGAACGGTAGAGGGGGAGGGGAGGTTAGAAGAATATGAACTGGACAGCGTTTTAAAATGTCTGCTTTCTTTCCTGCAGTCGGATCATCCTCATGGCCAACTCTCCTATAATTTTGCTTTTCGTTTAGATAATCGACGCTGACCCACCGACGCCCTTTCAGCCCCCGTCGGTTAATTGCCGAGAGCCTCGGGGGCAGCGGAGTTCCATCCCGCGACCTTGGCATGCCGCGCGAAGCATCCTTTCCTTCCTTTCCTCGATGACCTTGTCCTTTGCTGTAATCGCCCGTCAGGTTCGTTTTTGTTTTTGTTTTTTTTTTGTTTTTGTTTTGTTTTTTGTTTTGGACAAGCGCCATTCGTTTTTTTTTTGGCGCGGGTCGCGCAATTACCTTCGCGCCATTCGCGCATGCATTAATGGCGGCTCCGTTGTCCACGAGCCGTTATTAACGATAAGCTGAAGGTCTAATCTCTTCTCTAACCTCCTCCTTCCTTCCTCCCCCCTCCACCCACCCTGCCCATCCCTCGACCACCCTCGCACGCCGTTAAGTACAAGCGCTAATCACGACTTTATCAGTCGCGACAGCAGGAGTGAGGACGCAAACCACGACATCGTCGCCGGCCCAATGTCGTCATCCTACCATTACTTTACATACCTGGTGATTTCCTCGATGAGCTTGCAGGGATCCGCCGCGTAGAACTTAACGCAGAAATAGAGCGTATGCGCGTCTGGATTGATGTCTCCCTTCTTCGGCTTGAGCTGTTTGCCAATCTTCTTACTCGGGTCGAGCCATTGCTGGAAAATTCGGTCGAACTTTATGGACGAATTCAATTAACGGAGACGCCCAGATAGGCCGGCGGAAATTATCAAATTAAATGCGAATAGAAATCTCAAGGACCGTCCTGCTTGATATAACCCGGTGCACGCAAACGGGCGAGCGAGCGCGTGTGCGTAAGTAAATCCTACGTTATATTAAAAGGTGATTTCCAACAAAATTGACAATTTGCATTTGGCGACGGTGCCCCGAAAGATCTGTTAATTTTACGCGAGCGAGTGGCTCGCGACTTTCGTCCTTCTCCATCGGAGGCGAAAGTCCCCCGCGTGCAACGAGCCAAAGCCACAGCGTCCCGAAGCAATGACGAAAAACGAAAAATTTCTCATCGCGTTAATCGCCCCACGAGCGATTAATCTCAACTTCCATTGGCATCGGTTTTTCAATAATAAATAGCCGTTGGCATTTCGTTGTGCCGCGCTTAACCGATTTCTTGGTCCGAGTCCGTTTTCTTGGAATTACGCGATAATTGGCAGACTCGGGCGATTCGTTATATCGCAAATTACGCTGCACCTTGCTGGTTAATTAAATGGCACTTTAAAGAGCCTGGATTATGAAACGGCAATTAGATCGTGATAAAGCAGCGTAGATACATTACCGTTTGATTGTCATGGTCGAGATAACGTAGTCCGAAGTAAGCTGTCTCCAGGAGATTGAGGTGCCGGAAAACCCTGTCCAGCAGCTCCTGTCCCAAATTCGAGCTCTGAAAGCAAGGGAACGGAAAGGGCGTTGTGAGTAAGGTGCACATTATGACGGACGGATAGACGTTGACGCCCCCCTCATTTGATCAATCGGGATTCCGAGCGAGTGCGCTCGTAGCGATACCCTAAAAACGTGCTGCTACGTGAGCTGCACAGGAAAATGCGGGGAAAATGTAAGCGGCGCACGGATTTGATGAGTCGTTGGTTCTCGCGCGTCCCGTTATATAAGGTGGAGATTATATAAGCACGCACGCGAGTCCTCGTCCCTTTGGGAAGGCGAGGGCGAAAACGTCACGGTTCGGCGCGTCTCCCGTACTCCCCTCACCGCCTCTCTCGCCGTCCCTCCCACCCATTGCCCTTGGGAACCGGTAAACGTTTATTGTGATCTCCATGACCGAAAGCGGCTGCACCATCGGCTCTTAGGGTGATAAATTTTTTATGATTTTTCAAATATCCCAAGTGCCACGGCGACGCTCCATCGACCTTTTTACATTATCCTTCCTATTGTTATCTTAACGTTTGTGCGACGCACGTCACGACGTGGGGCATCGCATTCCTAGGAGTCGCAGTGACTTTTCCGTTATATAATATTTTCTTGGACGACTCGTCCTGGTGTCTTTTTTTACTTGTCTAATTCTAAAGTGCGCGACTGTGGTTCATTCAACTTTGGAAAGTTGAATTATTCCATGGGCGAAAAGACTAAGAAGAAGCCTAACGCAGCTGCGAGCAATGAAATTGAATTTTATTTCTTTATTCGTGAGAGTAAGACTCTGGATTCTTCGACAAACATAGAGCAATGAAAATCGTTTATTCTTGATAACTTGGGATAATCCTTGTTTATTATCACCATAATTCCCTTCTAAAATTAGACATCGAGAGCCGAATTAGATAATGCCGGGATGCTTAGTTTACTTTTTGTTTCTTCGTTTCTATCATTCATTGTTTGTTTATGTCTTTATGTGCTTGTTTGTTTGTTTGTTCGTTTGTTCGTTTGTTCGTTTGTTCGTTTGTTCGTTTGTTCGTTCATTCGTTCGTTCGTCTCCTTTATTCACTCGTCCGTTCGTTGCCTCGTTTGTCTCGTTTATTTGTTGAAGATTAACCGATAATGAAATATCATGGCTTTCGTGCCTAATAATGCTAAGGAAATTACGGTCGTAAGAAAAAGCTCGAAACTTATTACGAGATAAGTCGAATTAAAGCTTACGGTACGAGACAGCGAATAAGTGCAAGTGAAATAAAATAGCGCGTTATTAAGTAAGACGATCGATAATTCGTAAGAATTTTCAGAGAAATTCGGGGCGAAAATGGCCATGAACGCCCAATTACGGGCTACAGCGAAGGCTTTCAAAACTACGATAGCTCCATTCGCTCGCAAACCCTACATTTCTTCCATCTAATCTAAATTATTATTAGCTCATTAGTTCATTACTTTCGATAATGAAGCGATGCACGTTTGCCGCTAATAAGCCAATGATAATTCATTGAGACAGGGAAAAAGAAGTATTTACAACAATCGTCGCGTAGAAAATTTTCATTGTCATTCCATTATGGGCATTTATAGGCGATGCTTGAGAAAATATAAGAAGCCTGAGCCATAAACACCACTAATTAAAAAATAAAACAGCTCCAGTTTATGTACAATAACTTTCTCGCTCGACGCATTAGGAGCGTCGTCTGCGCGACGACAACAATGAGACGTAATTTTCCTTACGCGATTTTTAGTGCGCCCGCAGCAAGGTAAATAATAAAATCCCCGACTCGGAACTTATTTGCAGTACGTACTACAAGGCTCCGAGAAATCGCCGAGGTTCATTGGAATAAAGTGGTCCGTCGATACGTACGGACGAGACCGCATGCTAAGTCAGGCGAACGGTTGCACGAGAATTTCTCGTGTCCCCACGTACGCGGCGTCCCTCCCCTTCCACTATACTTTCCATCGCCCGCCGGACAAAAAGATTTGTTTTACGCACAAGGGTGATAGGGTGGGTGGAAGTGTCGCCAAGGAGAGGTAGGAGAAAAAGGAGAAGGAGAAGGAGGATGGGAAGGGGCAGTAATGTCGAAAGCGATACGTAATGAGAGGAGGTGGTAGAGAAAGAGGGTAGAGGAGGAAGGAATCGGATGAAAAAGAAAAGAAGAAGTTAAAGAAGGAAAAGAGGAGAGGCAGAGGAGAGAAACCGTACGAGTGAATCGGAGAAAGACAGAGACAGAGACAGAGA